CAATCTCCACTGCCACTTTCCATTCTTCCCTTATCAGAATCCGGCCGGCATCGCCTACAAGCTCGAAACCCATTTCCCTCTGCCGCTTCTGCATTTTCATGAAACACGATGTTCGCACGGCGCGCAAGGCGCGAGGGACAAGTAGGTCGGCAGTATATCTTGGTTGTGATAACGCTGTATATGAATGAAGAATGGGCGAGAGGATCACGGGACAGCAGTGCTTGGTGGCGTTTAGTTGAGGTGAGAAAGAGATGTTTGTTTGTCATTTGGAACGTCGTCTTCGGTTTTATTTAAAGTATTAGATAAAAGAAGAATTGAGATATGAATTGATGAGGTTGGAAAATTAGTGGTCGAGGATAATGATGAAGGGGCAGCGGGGTTGTGGTTGACGAGAATATGACTAAGCAATCACTGTGATAGAAGTGACCAATGAAAAGCTTCCATGTTCCACCACCGAGGACCACCACTATTCCGTTTGATTCATCTGCCTAATATTCTTTTTTCATACATACAAAACCTCGCGCTTTAGTTTTATCGTTTTTTTTGCTTTTAGAAGTGTTAGATAAAGTCTTTGTTCCTACTTAACGGCGGATTGATAGGAAAACTTCGACTACCCCAAAGACTTAAGAATCTTAATCAGAGGGTCTTCCCAGACCAAGACCGAAGAGTTTGCCTAGTAGACCGAAAGATACAGTTGTTGCGCGAAGATCGAAAGTTCGAATTCGAGGGGAACCTGCTCTCAAGCGTCAGGAATTGCCAATACCGTAATAAGCAACACCAAGAAACTCGGCGGCCGTGTAACGATGTCGCCATTCAGCTCTATCTCTGACCATAGCGATTTCCCCATGACAGATATCACAGACTTTCAGCGTGTATGTTCCCATCCCTTTGGTTAATGATTGTATTAATCCCCTTCTTCGCAGAAAGTTTACATCCTCCTCCTACAGATCCCTTCCGGGAGAGTGTCCTCTTATGCCTCTCTGGCCAAAGCCCTCTGAACTGCTCCTCGTGCAGTCGGTGGAGCCTTGAGACGCAATCCTTATGCGCCACAGGTGCCTTGTCATCGGATTATCTGTGCTAATGGGGTAAGTCTCCTGCTTATATTTCTAGACCTTGTCTTTATAAATTCCTCGGGGAGCTAACGAGTGTATCGATGACAGGCAATCGGAGGATTCAAGGGCGAAGCGCAAGATACACCGTCAGGAATCAACCAAGAAGAGAAACTAGGTTTGTTGAAGGCTGAGGGGATTGACTTTGATGAGACTGGACAACTAGTGGATGTAGAAAAGTGGTGGGGTGAGTTTCGTGTCTGAGCACCACTGCTGCACGCGTCCATTGATGTTTGGGCAAGATGGTGAAATAGAGAGTATTCAAAATTGCAATTTAAACCAAGTGAGTCAGCCAATGAAGGAAATGTTATCTTAACTTCCACCTTTGCTTGCCTCCAAAATGGAGGCTCCATCGCCTCATGAGCTACCCACATTTCTTCCCCTTTTCAATATCTTCTATGATCAAGCAATTTTTCAATTCCCCACACGATTGTTCATACCAAACCAGAGACATTAAATTCTGGAGAAAAGGAATAACAAACCTTAATGCGTTACCAACTTTTGAAGCCCCACAAAGAACGAAGGTACGATCTCCAAGTGTATGAATGCATCCGTAACGCAACTCACTTGGTTTATTTCATCATATTCGAGTAGCTGTTGAATATATTTCCTGAAGCCGTTGAGTATAATGTATGGTACAACAACACCACCTACACTAATCGTAGCTCCTACCTTTTGGGAAGAGGAGACAAGTAGGTAGTTGGGGTGACAAGTCCCTGGATACATAACGCTACTCAATCCGACCTAGAAGTAGCACGTCCGTGAAACGGCGATACACCACTAAAGCCCATCTGTCCGACTTCTGTGGAAGATGTCCGTACATGAGAGCCGGTAGGAAATACCTGTCTTCCAGCCAATGACACGATCACAGACTCCGAGATCAACGATCCACGCACGCGAATATGTCCAAGTCACGAACTCCGGGCTTCATAACACAATGTTGCAGGGCGCACATTAACACACAATGAAGAGACGATGTCGTCGCCACGAATCTCTAAGCTTTGCATGAGTGGTCCGTGCTTATATAGCGGGGTAGACAAATCTCCCTCTGAACCTCCAATATCTTGATATATGCCAGTGTTAATTGTATTATCCAAGTTTAACAGGACGTGACCGCCGGATTGTTGGGCTTTCTTCACACGTTCTCCCATACAGAAGCTGAATATAGCAGGAACAGTAAGAGCGAGCCTACGAGGTAAGACGACAACACTATTACCATACTATGATCTATGATGATAGCTTCGTGGGTATCATAGGTCATGAATGGCGCGCTCAGCCCGGATCTTGGATCATGATGGCCTATATACGGCCTGTTGAGCATCTGCGGAATTCTTATCGATGGCACATACGAGTAGCTATCAGACTCTCTACTCTTTATCTTTTAATCCCGCGCCAGAAAGTGCCCGAAAGGTCCAACTTGAAGTATCAATCTCATTTTCATCAAACCCGCAGCATAAGCAGCGTGTTCAAAGCTTCTCCCTTCTCTTCTTTCTAAACTACACTCATTTGAGAGAATCTCAACCCAAAAGAAATCAACAGGCCCCAGAAGCTTTGCGACAAGTTGCTAGTCTTCACGCAAACGCTCCAACTCACGAATATTTCCGTGCTAACATCTCCAGCTTAGACTGCCATTCAATCCTCTCGCCACTAAATTTCCAGATTCCTCGTAGTAGGCCAACACTTCTATGGCGAATTTCTTTTCTCAATCTACCATTACCGAAAACATACCCACAACCTTCGCATAACCGGACTCACCAGTCACGACGCTCGCCGTGGCATCTGTTATTCTTCAATTGAATCAAGTAAAGCTGTATCGGTATATATATGGGGGAGGGACAGACAATCGTACAATTTGGGAATGACTGGGGCGGTGTATTGGTTCAGATGCAGCCCAGGCCATTGAGAGGGCAATTTGAATTGGTATGAAGATATCTGAAGAAAGGTCAAGCATCCTGAGTCTTTTCAGTAACGAGCGCAGGCAGGGGACTATGAAAAGGGCCGGATCTGTGGTTAAAGCAATGGATGGTGCTTGGTGACTTTTACTTTATCTTAGGATGAAGGGTTTTGAATCGCTTGCACTCTTTTCATAAGAATAAATCATGGAGTTTAGAAATGGTATACGTGACTTTCGTTATAAAAATAATATACAGTGAAACTTTTTCCCCGCTGACCCATCTACAACAGCACAACAGCCGCGGCTATTGCTCCAAGTCCTGCAAGGAGAACTCCATCTCCACTTCTAACCCCCGCTGCCCCACCCGTACTCTGTGCAAGACCCGTAGTAGATGAGGTGGAATTGGAGATTGAACTGGAATTGGAAGTTGAGGTTGCTGTACCTGTCGAGGTAGGTTTGGTCGAATTCCCAGTCGAAGTTCCAGTTGTTGCACCTGTAGTATTCATTGCCTTATCTCCAAATGAAACATCAAATGAGTTTCCCATCAAAACCATCAGCTTTGCTCTTTTAACTACATCCGCCGAACTGAAGTTTCCTCGAGCCTTCCCCGAAGTTTGAAGAGTGGTCAGACTCATATTCATATTCGTCGTATTGAACAAGAGCTGAGTATATCTATGAGTAGTTGGTGCGATATTAGGTGGATTTGGCTGTAGATATGTGGCGAATGCGGAAGTGTTTTTTACGTTGATCAATTCGTAAACTTTTTGACCACCGATAGTGGTAGTGGTATTGGCGGATGTGAGATCGGTTTGCATCCAGTGAAGGAATTGAGATGTATCACCTCCAGATTTTGCGGGTGGAATGTCAGGATCTACCATCATTACGGTATAACTGCCTGTCATTTTGGTGGTTGTACCGAGAATGGGAGCTCTGGATGTGTCTGGAAGACTGTCAGTATTTGGTCTTGATAAGGCCAAGAAATGAAGCTTACCGGCTCGTAATACTTGTATCCCATTCATGGCAAGCTTAGAACCATATGCAACGGTAAGATTATTAGTTGAAGCTGGCGTAAAACCAGATGGTGTGAAAGCTGATGCCCCGCCAGCGAGCGCAACCGCGAGAAAGGAAGTTACAGAGAACATTATGAAGAATATTGTAATTATGAAAATGAATTAACGGTAAGGTCGAATAGATGAATATGGAATATCAAGCAAATCATTGATCCCATCCATATATCAGAATTGACTGGATGGACCGTTCCGAAAGATGTTACATCATTACGTCCAATTTCCGTCTCGAAACTGCCAAGAGAAGAGATGACGACGACGACTCAATCATAAAACCACACATCAAGTTAGTTTCAAGACATCATGCGTAACAGATCAGAAATTATGGGATGTATTACCACTTGATTAGGATAGGTTCGATCGTTTCGGGACTTCTTTTGCCTTAAATCATTTCTTAGAAGATCAGATAGTCATTCACGATAAGCAGCGAATGAGAACTTGACTGCAAGGACACGCACTGAATATGTGGGTGCGAATTTCTCAATATGTCCATAATAGACGTTTAAGCATGACATTGACTGGCACGCATAGAAACTTAGTACGTGATGAGGCCATAGCAAATGTTTCGAGCCGCCGTCAGAGCGTTTTTGGTAGCAAGTACTACCGATCTTTTAGGGGCCTTCGAAGTTAAATCTCATATGAAATCTATCTTTCGTCTCATGAGTCATGAGACGAAAGATACATGAGTAAATGTGATTTGAAAAATTCAAAATGAAACCGCATAAGAAAACCAATTTTTCTAGAAATCTATGAAATGCGGGGAGTCTGAGTTGATTAGGCTCACCCAAGCACTCGCCTGGTTTCAGCTTCAAGCTCAACACCTTGATAACATTTGACAACCCTGAGTCAGACCATGAGAAAATGCTAATTAGCTTTATAAATTCTAATCACCATCGGGTACCGAAGCGTTGCTTCCTTTGAAAGGATGGTTTTCTGGCTGGAGAAGTAAATGGAAGGGTCTCCAGATTCCAGAAGCCATGATGTCTGAAAATACTTCGTTGTCAAGAACTACTCGACCTATTTCAACGATTCGCCGGTCAATTCCAAGCACTGTCAATCATGTCCAAGATCTTGCTCATGATTTGAAGATCTCTGGCCAGCTAATGGCATTTCTTGGTAGACACTTGAAGTTGTCGGCGGCTTTGGTTGGCGAACCACCTCAATATCAAACGATGCAACTTTCGCCCCGAACTTTCAGGAATTAAGAGACTTGAAGAGTTGCGGATTCTTTCTTATATAAACTTATAAGAGGGCCAATCCCTTGCTGTAAATCAAACAGTGTCGGTGTTCATAATGACAATGACATTAGGGTAGGGAAGGAACTTCTAGTGCCCCGCGGCAAACCTCATAGAAGTACATAGTTTTAATATGTATCGATTTCATTGATCAAATCATATGTCGCTTTTTTCAGTGATACAAAATATCCTCAATAATTATAATCCAATAAAATAAAATAAAATAAAATTCTTTAGCAAAGATTGAGATATCAAACACAAGATACAAGATCCAGAACAAAACATGCTGTGACCAAAAGGGTATAAACAGGACTCCGATTGTGTACTTAGAATCTACAAGTGAAGAGCTATGTAGGATGCTAAAAGGAGGACTATATATACAGGTATTGGGAGCCATAAGGGCTAGGCCAAAAAGGGTGAAAGAGTCCTAGGCGTAAGATGCCTAGGTCTAGAGCTATAGAGCTAGGGCTCTAAGCTGTGAAAGGAAGGTCAAAAAGAGCCGTCATATCATACTATGTATGTAGTATGAGCCAGTGGGCGGAAGAGAGCCGTCTGTTCCGTCACACATGCATTATCATCAGAATGCTCCCTCGGGTGGGCTTGAACCACCAACCTCTCGATGAATCTGCGAATGAATTGCTTCACCGTATCCAGCGCTTTTTACTTTTCTCCTCGGCAACATTGTATTGCAGTACGGTATTTGCAAAGAGAAAAGTTTAAAGAAGCCGGTCGTCTTGAGACAAAGAGACTGAGCTGTGGTTGTTTAGAATCGTAATGAGGGCATCAAGGTTCGGATACCTAGAAGGATAGGTATGCTGGTATCTTTCAATGGTCTTTGTGATTTTTCAAGATATGAAGAAGGTATTAATGTAATGGTCTTGGAGTTTAAGGGTACCATTTGATCGACAACTTCCCACAAATGAGTAAAGAAACCGTGTCGAGTACGAACCTTCAGTCAGAGATAAGTCCTCCTCGAGTCCTTTTAGCTTTCTAACTTTCTAGGTTATACCTCGCAGCGAGATTTCCACTGCCACCACGCAATATTTTACACGCGAACTAGGAATTTGATAATTGTTCCTTGATCATTTCGACAAAAAGTGTGACGACCTTGGTTTCTTTATATGAAATGGACTGGCATAAAACAAAATTCATATCAGCGTACGGACGGATATATTACGCATCACTTGTTCATATGAATCTACTTTCCTCATGTACTCGTATTATATTATATATTTCATACTGAAGGGTCATATTCTATCTTACGGTGTTAGATTCTTACACATTTATTATCACAAATAGATACACACAGATTGTCAGGTTGAGAGTACTAGTATTTGATTCATATTGCCCTTCTAAAGTGATATACTGTAGAACTACTAATTACTGAATTACCTTAACAATAATGGTGTACTTAACGTGCATGAATGTCCTGTCACAGGCAGTTAGACTTGCCTCGCGGATGACAAGAGTCTGGATGTATCGGAACTCATCCCCCAGAAAGCAAAACTTCGTCATATGCCAAGCGAGTGAGTTCCCTAAGATTCACCCTTTGGCAGGATACATACTTATTTTATCGATCTCCGAATGATAGTACGTACCGAAGTTTGGTGTGAAATAATCCGACATTGGGGCGAAAAGGCTTGATGGGCATTTGGACTGATACTCATGCCAATTGGCAAGATTGTTCGGATCAAATTTATATTGGCGCTTGACTTCCGCGCGGCTTTCCCTATTGATCAAAAGTTGAACTGGGTTCGGTGTTCTGACATGATTCTTGTACACATCAAATCGCCCTTCACTTATGGGAAAATCCCCAACAACAATTATTCTTCCTACAAACGAAAATTGCCATATCTTGACTCTTAGTTCAGGAGGAAGTTTCGAAAACAAAGTGAAAGCCTTCAGTAGGAGATTGCCGTTATGTTTGGTCAATCGGACATGTCGATAAAGTTTCTTGTTTTTCTGGGACGCCGGTATTCGCTGGCTTTTCGGAATCAAATTGTCGCTGTTTTTGGACCTCAACCTCTTCTGAAACTTCACAGGCTCTATGCCAACACTGAGATCGTTGTCGGAGCAAGACGATCTCTTCAAATTTGCGACATTGTAGTTTGGTAGATCTAGCGTGGAAAATATCTGGTCGTGAATTTGTAAATTCGAGAACAACTTTATGAAATGTTGGTAGTCCGGATCCACCATCTGTGCCGCTGCCTTCTCTATGAAGGCCAAAGTTTGTGTTGTATGAAAACGAAATGTTATCACGAGTTTGGCTGTGGCTCTATTCTAGTGAGATGTTAGCATTGAAATAATCAGGACAATTAAACCCATGTCTAAGCAGGGTACATGTACAGCGAAGTTGCGCAATATGTTACAATACGAAAGTTACTCATCTTACCGTGATGGAAGCACTGATGCCCAGTACTGAGGTCAAATCCGAAGATTGTATGTTGGCAATTCCCTTAGTGACAGCAAGACCAATATCTGAAGTATTCGTTTTCTCCTACACATCAACTTGGTTAGGATGAATTATCAACAGAGAATAGGATGAAATACCATCTTGCAAAATAGAAGAACTCTCACAGTCTTGATTATCGGATATTACAAGAAGTGGATGCAATGTATCCTGCCGCGTCGCAGGGTGTTTTTAAAGCTCTGCGATAAGAGCGAACCGTACGTGAGGAGATCCGGGGTTGACGCTAATATTTTGTACACACTTTTGCTGATGCCATAATACCTTCTACTCTGTGAACTTGCGAATGAATACGAGTTTTCGCATCAGTCAATATTTACTGAGGGCCGATATAGAGGATAAACCTCAATGCTCTATGCTTATGAGAAGCTGGGTTGTTCAAGAAAGTAAAAATGTAAGAATGGAACATGATATTGCTGGAAGCTGATGAATAATCTTGAGCCAATAGAAAAATTATTACTATAGCAGTACATTGAAACCATTGCACCCTTGTTTGGTGTTAATATTCAAAATCGAGATGAGAATGGTTGCAAGAGATGAATTGAGACAATTGAAGAAGATATAAAGATGTTATTTGACGTTGGAATATATCCTCGGCTCGGATGAACTTTAATCCAGGAATTATGAAATCATGACAGCGATATAAACTTATACCTGAAGGTATCCTCTTTCATCATTCAGATTCAATCATCCTTGATTAGAATACTAGTCACTAGGCCTTTACGATCAGCCTCCTGCAACAAGTTCGAGTAAATTTTTGAAATGTCACTAAATGGAAGCTTCAATGAAAGTTACAAGGACTCCTCTACTCCATTATTAAATCCTTCCTACGAAATCCAAATGAGTATCTGGGGTGGAACACTCAATGATCACGCCTCAAACACTTCAACTAATAGTCCCATTTTCTGGCTTTACATTGATGCAAAATGGCTCGAAAGTATGTTTATCTTTAGCCTTGTTCTCGGCCTACGAACATCCAATGAACTTAGTTTTTCCACATTTCGAAGATATACAAAACCTGATTGTGAGTCTGAATCTCAATGAAAATCCACTTTTGATACTCAGATGAAGTTCAGTGGCCTACCGTCTATAGAGAAGAAATCTTGTGGGGTTGCATACACACCTGTTAGCCGTCCTATATAGTCTTAGACTGAAGATGGACGTAAATTAAATCAATTAATCAATCAATCAATCAATCAATCAATCATACACACCTGTTCTATGGCTCAGGAGACGATTTTTTAAATGAGAACAAAAGGTGATGTCGCATCCTATTAGCAAGTGGCAAGATGATACCACATGTTTCGAAGATTTGTTTGAATTGGGTTCTAGCTTTCGGTATTTGACAAAACCAAACAATACTGCAAGGTTTGAAAGGACTATCATGATTTATGATTCGGACATATTGACTTTAAAAAGCTATGAGACAGTGATGGGGCAGACAAAACAGCTCGGATCATCTGTCACATTGGTTGAATTTTCTTTTCATTATTTTACACAAGTTATTTTACTTCTCATATTTTTCGAAGACAAGAGGTCCTTTGTTCATGAAAGCTGTGCTAGTTCTTGGCTTTCATCAACCTCAATCGCGTTGGTATAACTGCCTTGGAAAGATATATATATAGTATATTGGTTATAGCAGTTTCCTGCGCAATTTACCACTTAGGCCCATCTCTTCTGATATCTCAAAATTATCTTCATGTGGATCCTGCCAATTCCAAAGACTTATGAGCGATAACTCTGAGTCGTTTTATGTCCTAATTAGTACACTGGTTCTTGTTGGTTGATCTTTCCCAAATCCCAGATTCTTCTTCATATTGGATTATATCTTTGGCTGATGGTGTTAAGTTTTATGACAATGTGCTCAACTCTTCATTCTTTCAGTTCTGGAAAATTTCTGTACGCTGATTAGCAAAAACACCGGATATGAAGAATCGCTCTTCACTAAGCGAACGAGTCTTCGAAATCGACTACCGTAGACCCTTCATGATTCCCGGCTCTTCCTTGAATGTTCACGCATTAATCAAGGGATAAGTTGGACAACATATCCCAAGGGTGGAGGGTTTCATGAACTTAAAGGTTTACTGGTGTAAATATTGAAAATGCCCTATTCCATCTTGGCTGCGCTACTATAGCATCAAGTGCAACTCTCCTCAAATAGGATAATTTCGAATCATATCCAACTGAATGATGAAACTTATAGAATTTCTTCGGTACAGGGAATCCTTTTACCTTTCATTTCATACCTTCAAAAAATGGAAGTTTCTATCCACTTCAATACATCGCGATCGAGAAATATCAATTCGAACCCTCCGTTCGAAATTCCATACTTCTATCTCTTAGGCCGGATGTAGGTCTTTCAATGCTTTCCTGTTGTATGGGCGGCTTATAACTTAGGAAATGAACCCTAAACACCGCCACATACTTAAGCAATTCATATATATTTACTAAGTGTCGTCGATCCATCACTTCTTCTACTTTATCCTTACCGATGTTTGACTCCATGCATGTAGATTATTCTCATTCCCCTCCACGAAGCTTTCTCAAGAAGTATTCAATGATTTCTCAACTTTGTAGCTCCCGCAAGACAATAGATCGATTAGCCATAGTGGGTACTACAACTGAGCGAGAATTGCATTGTTACGGAGGTCTTGCGTGTTTAAACACATAAGATTCAAGGGCTACGATGTCGATTGGCCCGATTTTAAGGCCATTCTGCAATCGGTCCCCGTCGTAAAGAGATCTACTCGGGGAACTACAAGCTCCGCTGCGAGAGAAATCCGCGATAACTCAGTCGACTCCCGGATATCAATCGACTGGGAGAACTTCTGATCCAGACGGCCCAGTAGCAGTCTATTCCGAACGGATATCAGACTACAAAATCGATGATTTAGTAATTTTCTATCAGGAGTTTGAGCTTGAAATGGTAGGTTGTAATTCACCGGGTGTGCAGTGGGAATTGTTTCTGTATTCGATACATTTTGTGTGAGGCGACCGACCGAGGAAGGCTTTACACCAAGATACCCGGAGTCTACTATGGCTAATCGAATTAGCCCAAACCACAAAGTTCGTTTATCACGAAATAGTTTTACAGTAGTACTCCTATATTATAAGAAACTCCACATAAAACCGCAGAAGTTCCCGTAAGGCTTGATTGAAGGCGTTTCATTTCTCAGTGTAGGGCAGAGTCGAGGTGTACTTGAGGGTAGAAGGACAGTTATTGTCGAAAGAGGATTTCATTTTTAGATGAATTACACTTACCGGAGAATGCTCGCGTTCAAGGATAAGACGTAATATAGTGACCTCCTGGCTGCTAATATAAGAGAATGACTCATCAGTATCGGTACCTACTGGATAAGAAGTCAGAACCTTGATACTTCGCGATAGTAATAGTATGGTGATAGGTTATGTTATTGTTGTGGAGGAGATAAAGTGTGAGTTGGAGGAGAGATCGAAAGAGCTTCGTTTATAGGGCTTATGGAAAACAAAAGCTCCATGACGAACTTCCGCACTTAGAAAATAATGGGAATGGGGAATAGAACCCATTAATGTAATTTTGAAGTGAAAGTCCGTCAAGTGAAGCATGGGTTTTATTTTGCAGATGAAGTATCGTTTGGAAGCTCCCTCATTCTAAAACGATGCCACCTTCTTTAATGGGAGCACCTTCAGGTCTTTCGGTGCACTACTGATGTCTGTATAGATTGGAAACCATGATTAGTTCATAAAGGAGATATCAAGAAATATTTGAAAAGATCTCTCACTTCTTTCAAAATCACGAGCCTTGTCACACGAGATCCAAAGGCCAGATCATTTAAATGTAGTCGAGAACAATCATGCACGAATACCTCTCAAAAACTTTGTTCCACTCTTTACTTCTCTCTCATGATATGAACAGAATTAACAAGCCAAAGTCAAATTATTGAATCTCAACCAGGCACAATCATCGCTACATCAGCCCTTCAGTTCCCCATTGCATCTAATCGATCCGCCATAAATCATGTACACTATCGAGCCGTTCTTCGAAAGAGGTTGTGTCAAACTGAGCTGGTAAACTAGATTTCGATTCCTAGGTCGCCTTCGCTTTCCACTGAAGGAAGTCCTGAGTTAGCGTTTCTTTGCTTAGCTCTGCCTTGACTGAATCCTCTTTCACTGGCTTCTCCTCGACTGGATTCTCCTTACATGAGTTATTCTCCACTGCCTTATTCACCAAAAGATTCTTCACTGATTCATCCCTCACTGGATTTCCTTCTCCATGTAATTCTGCTCTTCCTTTGCGGGGCTCTTAATTGTCACTAGCTCAATATCCACTGGCTGAGATGGTGGGGAAGTACATTGAGGCCCTAAATGAGTTCGTTCACCACACCAACGACACTGCTCCTTACAAATATCCCAAAAATGACCATTTCTATCACAGTTGACACAATAATCAAGTTGAAGAGGATTTGGACCGCGGAAAGTACCTTGATCGGGATTCACTTTCAAAAAAATCGTTAGAATTGCTATACAAAATGTTGAGAGCAGTAGACAAAGTAGATCAAAACTAACTATACTTCGTCCAGAAACGTAGTTCGAGAAAATATTGATGATTATTAGGGGTGCCCCGTTGAAGATTTCCGGGCCTAGATAGTCGGCTAGTCAAAGCTCTGTGGCAACTTCTAGCAATTTCGGTAGTGTACTTGGAACGATATATTTCCAACTTGTTCCTGGCATAACGTCCGATAAGTGGGAGCTGAGATGGTTGGGTAACAGGATTCCACCCGGGCCATGAATGAAAGTCGCATACGGGTACTTGGCCATGATATCTGAACTGAGCTGCAGTGGGCAGAGGATATGTGATAACTCTCACGACCAGAGTCCCCGGCAATATCAATCCAGCTTTCAACAAGTGAGCTTCAACATCAGGGTCCAGCTCAAAGTATTGACGACCCTGTGGTGTATGCACAGATACAGAAGTCGAGAAAGTACCAGGTTGGCTGGTCGACGGAATACCGGTAGGCGTTGGCTGAATGACTGTTTCGGTAGCGGAATTCTTCGTAGTCGACGATGCCGCTGAATCTTGAGTATTAGATATATGGGGAACACAATTTCCATCTTTGACAGGGAGCTCATTGAGAATCTTGTCAGGTTGTTTAGTCTGAGCAGTCCTTTGAGGTTTATGTCTTCTGGTTTGTTTGTTATGCGCTGCTTCGCGAGTAATCCGTTGAAGCTCTTGATTGTTGTGTGCTGCTTGATCAGCTGCTCGGCGAAGTATATCCACAGCTAATCGAGTCCGCCTTTCAGGATCATTTACTTTGGCCATGTTAGACCATGCATGAGGATCAATATCGTATAGAGAATTGAGATGGGCCTGCTGTTCGGCAGAAAGAACTCCCGAGAAAGTCTTGCCAGGAACTAAATGGTTCGATTAGTATGATGCCCGCTTGAAAAGATTGGATTGCAAGAGGCAATTGAACGTACAATATTTGTTCCACGTAAGCAGTTCTGGAAGATACTCCAAAATGCGTTTGTTGTGACTCAATAGAAGATCCTTTCGGATATCACTAAGACAATTTTGAAAAACTCCCTCAAGAACAGCCTTACGAAATGGACTTTTCTCATCTTTCAACAAGAGTTTTAGCATAGTCTCGGCGAGTGATTGATACTCATTTGGTTGGGAGATTTTTTCAATTACACATGAATAGTCATTAGGATGTCGAGCAGTAACTCTCCATGGTGGAATATCTGACATCGTGAACCTGCAGCGGTGACGCAGTCCTAGAAGTCGAGTTGAATTGTTGTGTGAAATCTAGACACGAGGAAACCCTGACTTTATTATTTGTCGAGAATATTTTTATGTCAAAAGGGTAAGGCTGTGATTTAAAACACGGTATCATGCTTTGATAGTGAATTTCCCCAGCTAGTCCTGCATGTATTTTTCATGCATCTCGCCAATCTCTCGAATGGTTTCAAATTTTAAATGAAGTCTTCCTTATTCCTATGCAACGGCCTTATGAAATTACCTATTGGCTAACCACTCCCGGATTTTATATCCTCTCGGCATAGATTATAGGAAATGGAGATAACCTATCATGAGTCGCGTATATCTCGCTTCAACCAAAACAAGCCAACCAGAGCCAACAGACAACAGACAGCCCTTTGGAATTTTGTATCACTCACCTGAAGTTCGTGGTGAATCACTGCAGCTTGGTAGCAAGTCTCAATCGATATTCTGGGCGCACAACGATAGTCCTAATAATAACAACACTCAAATAAAAGAATTTTCACCATGACAACGCGTCCATGAACCTTCTTCTCCACCACTAAAGCTCGCACGTTGGTTCCAGGAATCCCAAGACTCTGAGGTCAGACATAAGCTTAGCTTGGGCTCTGTCATCATCAATACAAAGGTCAAAGACTCCGGCAAATTAAAATTGAAGGAAATGTATTGTAACGTCCCTTGCGTTGATACATTACTTGCGCAGATAAGGTTGATATTGTTCAACAACAAGATTTAAAAGAGATGTCAAGCAACTTTGGACTTCAACTGGATGTCTATAATTATATATATTTTAACATTACATGTTTTTTATACAGAATCTTGCAGCAGATCTAAGCATCGATATGCTTCTCATTAACCAAAACATATCTATATCTCGCTTTTCCATCCTCCATATCAATAATGGCTTGGTTGGCATCCTTCATTGGAACATTGTTGTTCCAGGTCTTAACACCTTTCTCGGCGAAAAGTGCCAACATATCCTTGATCTCATGTGGGGGACCAATGAGCGAGGCGCCGATGGAAAGTTTCTTGAGGATGAGGGAGAACACTGTTTGATATTAGTTATTTTGTTTTGGACATTGGACGAATCATAACTTACTGTTGAATCCAGGGATGGTATCTTCAGGAGCTCCAACTTGGATGAACTTGCCCTTGAATCTGAGAAGATTCAGGTAGCTTTGGAGTGGGAGTTTTGGTGAGGAGACAGTGCTGACAATGAGATCAAGGGAGTCTCCATATTTTGTTGCCCAATCTGGTTCTTCATCGGTGGCTATACGTTTATCGATTAGTATTTTCACCAGGATGGGATGAACCAAAATAACTCTAACTCACCAATGAATCTAGTAGCACCCATCTTGAATGCATCCTCATTCTTTACAGAGGTTCTAGAAATGGCTGTGATTTCATCACAACCCAACGCCTTTGCGCTCATGATACCGAAATGTCCAAGACCACCAATTCCGATGATTGCAACCTTCTTGCCTGGTCCTGCACCATTTTGTGCTAAAGGCGAGAAAACCGTTATACCTCCACAAAGCATAGGAGCTGCAATATCTGATGGAATTGAATCTGGGATCTTGATTACGAAATCACCGCTTCCTCGCCAGTAATCGGCATAACCTCCGTAGGATTTGCTTCCATCAGCCCATTTACTGTTATAAGTAGCGGTCATGTGAGCGCAGTATTGTTGTTGACTGAGTTCGTTAGTTCAAACTCTCATGGATGGGAACATCAAGCCTACCCATCAGCACAAGCTTCACAATCTCCCTTTTGGTTCAAACATGAACCACTTTGAGCACCAACACCAACACGATCTCCAAGCTTAATATCCTTAACCTTGGATCCAACTCTGACAGCTTTTCCAACGATCTCGTGACCTACGCAGACTGGGTAGTCTGATGCACCCCAACCAGATCTCAAAGTGTGCATATCCGAACCACAGATACCACAATGAGTGATTTGGATATCGACGTCTGTCTCTTCGAATGGCTTAGGTTCATACTCTTGCCAAACCATATTTCCATTGGCGGATTCCGAGTCGAGACCCATCCATCCTTGAAACTTATAATCGGTAGACATTTTTATGATTTGTTTGTGAATATCAAGAGTATATATTTGGTTATGGGAAAAGAAGAGTCCGGAGAAGTAGGGTTGGGCCATGGACTTTATATTTTATATTTGGCCCCTTCGTTATGAATACCGGTATGTCATCGTCCGTCTCCATCTTTGGAATGACAAATGCAGGTGGAGTCTTGACAGGAGGTTTTGAGAAATGATTGGGGTTTTTTTTACGGAAGCATTGATGCTTTGGGACTTACGTTTGAGCGTTTGAGAAAGGTCAAGGATGTAGGGTGAAGAATTTGAGGAATCTTTCACAATCGATTGATATGCTTTTCAAATTTCAAGGCAAAGCATCGCTGGACCAGGTTAGAGAGCAAAGTTGCCTACTGATGTGTAGCTTGCGGATAAGAACGATCTCCGATATCCGAGTTGCTCTTCTCTCCATTCTTTTATCATCTTAATTCCAATGCTATTTTCGATTATCAGAATTGTAATCACACAGAGTCTGTCTCAGTACGAAAGTAGTAGCATCAAGTGGACTCGGAGCAAGCTGCCGCTATGCCTTATTGCTTAGATGATTGAGATGAAATCCTAGGATCTAGATATCGTCCATGTTTTTGCTTTTTGTGGAAAAACTTTTCGGCCGATGATGTAAAAAAGCAGGTGGAACCAAGCTTTTATTAAGCTTTTCCGCCACTTGTCAGCATCTTAAATCCGATCCTCCAAATTTCAATACATCCAACCCCTGAAAGCTTTGGATTACCCGGTAGAAAATGCAAATGTCGTACGTACCCCACTGTACTGTATGTTTTGCGTTATCTCACAATCCTCTTGACTTCAAAGCCCTCCTTAATAAATTAGAAGTCAAGATCGGTGGTCATATTGATTGCATTGCAGTGCAGCTAAGTCACATTTTCTAATACCAGTATCCTAATAACTTGAGGTTGTCTAGCCAATTCAGTGTACCGGCACCGGCAGTGCAGTTGGTTACTAGTAGTGACACTTAAATTTTCAGTGTAAATATCCACCACTTCTCCCCCATCTACGTCACCATTATCAGCCACACCGTGTACACATAGGTATGATAATTCTTCACAGATATCTCACACGTGATATTCCACACCTGCTTATACAAACTTCCAGTGAACTCAAATCTCTTTCAAAAAGGCAAAAGGTCATGATTCTTCACCAGAGGAAGACAGTAAATAAGTCAACTACCCCACATATGGACCACCCCCCCCTTATGGACCACCCTAAAAACCCATACCGCCTAAGCAACCTACCCTCTTCAAAAATTCATAATTAAACAACCATTCAATCAATCGATTTCAAATTTTGATATACTATTATTTATA